ACCAAATCACCCTCGCATACGTCCTCAATCACCCATTGGTTCTCCCTTGTTTGCAATCAAAACAAATTAAAGCACAACGCACAGCTCGAGTTGCGCATCGATGTTCCCTGCATGCTCCTCACCCAGGAATCCAGCGGCGACCATGTCCTTCAGAAGGTTAGGGTCCGATCCCACCAGGCGGTCGGGGAACGCCTTGCCCAGGTCCTCGGCAACGTGCTGAGCGACGTCGATGCCCATCTCGTCCAGGAGCGCCGCCAGTCCCACCGGGAAACCATACGTCTTCGAAAGCTTGTCCAGCCTCCTCGGCCCCACACCCTCCTTAAAATGAGCGTAAAGTGCATAAGGCTTCTATTAGTGTCTTTTCCCTTCACGAAATGAAATGTACGGATGATCCATATCTAGCAGGGAGGAACTGAACACGGATGGTGTTATTGATCATCCTGTTTTGATATCATGGTATGTAATCAGAATTAAATCGCTACCAAGTTAAAACGTATCAGTACGATTAAAATCTTACATTAACGTATCTGTGAGTGTGACACCACGCAAATGCTATATGTTCTCGATACGTACTTAGACGTTAACAGCTTGTGATACGATCGATCAGCCTCCTAGACCCCCCCCCCCTACGAATCCTGTCTACTTGCCTGCAGAAGTCGAACTATTTCTCCCATGGTTGGCGCGAGACAGCGGGTCGTGTAAAACCCGGGTCCATCCTTCACGACGATCACAACCTTGCCCTGTTTCAACCCGACCTGAACAGCAGCCGCTGCCAACATAAAAATCAGCTGCTGATCAATCGGGGGCCAACATTTTTTGAAGATTTGAGCAAGCCATATTGACACTACTATAAAATGTGTTCAATTTGTGAAAACCTCTATAACTCAAATTACAAAAAATATATTTCTGGATTGCATTAGATCACTTCAAAATAAAAAAGGGGAAAAAAGGGATATGAACCTGCGGTATCGTTTGATGTTTTATCCGTAGTGATGATCTCTAACAACTGCATCTTGTCTACAGGTGAGAAGTAATGCATACCAATAACCTGCATGGAAAATCAAAGGTCTTACAAATAAAACTCCCTACCAAGAAATAGTTATGTTCCCCATGCAATATGCATTCTCATCATGAGACATTAATATATAATAACACAAGGAACTTCCATGGTAGCAGGGTTAGACAATGCAAATACAATGCTTACTGCCAGTGAAGTGATTTAGTCATGGATAACTATATAATGAAAACCATTGGTTCAAAATCACCAAGAACTGAAGAAATAGTCAACAAAACTCTTTACCTGATTGAATAATTTCATCGGATCTCTATAGTTCACATAAAAATAAGTTTATCTCAGTTAGATCCATAATAAGTTATAATTACTTACAACGATGAAAACTTATAACTTATTATGGATCTAACTGAGATAAACCTATTTTTATGGAAACTCTTTACCTTTTCTGGTCTCTTGCTAGCCGTTGCTATTTGACTGATGGGCAAAGCTGACGTGTTAGAGGCAAATATGCAATCTGCTGAAATGTGCTGTGTATACAAAGAAGCCCTAGTTAGTTTTATAATGTAATAAAATTCATTTGTCATCATTTCATTATTCATTTTTGATAAAACTAGGTCACAAAACAGAGTTGTAAGCAACTTTGCTAACAGGATCACATGGGAAAGAAACTGATAAACAGTGTTGTGTATGCTATATAATTAATTTTAATAACAAAAGTAGATTAAAATAGAAACATGAAATTGCATACCTTCTCAACTTCTTGGATAACCTTATGTTTGACATTTAGATCTTCAAAGACAGCTTCAATGACCATGTCCACCTTATCAAAGCCCTCATAGTCCAAGCGAGCACTCATGTTTGACATAGTCTGATCCCGTTCAAAGCTAAACGTGACTTGAAGTACGCCCATTCCTCGCTAGTGCCAGCAGCAACAATCGTTGGTCTCTTGACCTTCTCGACCTTGGCAGCTTGTCCATAGGTGTGAATTGCGCTGTGGGCAGTTAGGAGTGCGGCAACGATAGCAGCGTTGAGGTCTGGCGTCTTGTAGTCGCAGCCGGGGATTGGGCAATTAACAGCAGGCATCTTGGTAGGTCTACCGTGATCATAAATAAGAACCCTGTCTCTTTGTTAAGTCCGCTGTCTTGTAATTAGTTGCGGTCAACAATGATCACGGTCGGCACATGGAACAAAAGAATGGGTACATATAGTATCAGTTACAATCCTCTATGTTTTACATTATTTAATATATGAACTGCATGTGAGATCTAAATTCATAAATCGTTTTTTTTTTTATTTAAAAAGTTTTATTTTTTATTTTTTTTCATTTTGAAAAATATATTTTTAATTTCAAACGTAAACAAATAAATACACAAACAAATACAACTTAAAGAAAGACAGAAAGCAGAGGAAAATAAAAAACTTATGGGAATCGAACACATACCGTTCTGGTTATACTTCGAGAGGTTTACATTGCGCTATTTAGGCGAACTTAAATTTATCGCTATTGAGCCCACCCATGTGTCTCCAATTTACCTATTTTTCCAGCTGAACACTTAAATATTTATTAATCGATAACGTCACGGTCTTGTACCGAATCGCGATTTTCTTCACTGCGGGCCCGACGGTCGGGTAAATAATCACTTCCGTATGCGTAAATATCCTGTGAAGTTTCCGCATCAGGTCTTCACTTCAGTATCATTCATTGTTCTTCAGTGCATTTTTATCTATTTTCATTGATTAGCTAAATTTATAACAAGTTATTGGTCAGAAAAACATACGATATTCTACAGTCTGTTCACGAATAGGAAATAAAATAAAATAGTGCAATAAAATAGTGCGAATCCGTCCGACAGATGGCGGTAATCCCAGACATTTTCTGTTCATTTTTAGTTTATTTTAGATTTGTCTATGACAATGTTTGGCTCTGCTCTGTTTATCTCATGTTAATATTGCGAGTAGTTTAATCTCGTATACCTGCGTAAAAGGTCGGACAATGAAACTGTCTCAACAACATTTATGATGATTGGTTTATCGATTGGGTCTAAAATTCTGTTTTGAGTCCGACTGTCACAACCTCTCAGTCTCAGTAAACACTCAGTAACACAGTAACAATGCACATTGAGGGCCTGGAAATCAACCGTCCGACGTGGTTTACCGTCTTTCTTTGCACACACCACCATCCTGTGGCACCAGGTAACAGGCTCCCCGATGGGTACTGGTTCGAGCACACCCAACTGAACATCACTATCTAAACCAGCCTTGAAGGCATCTCGCCAGTGGAGTGGGACAGGCACTGTTGTGTGATGTGCGACTGGCTCTGCTTCAGGGTCCACCATCAATTTCATAGGTGGGCTGTCCATTAGTGGCAAGGGCTGATGCTCACACGTATTAAATGTGCTTGATTTGAAGTAGTCAAGTAGATACTTTTGCAGCGTCACACGGTTCGCCTCAGTCGCAGGGAATGGCAGTTTAGTAGGGGGTGGTGGGGGCTGTTGATGCCGAGGGCAGGTACAGGCTGTTCCATCAGAGGCCTTCTTGAGGGTGGCTGCCGTGTCCGGTTGGTGTGCCCCTTGTGTCATGCCGAGCGTGGGGAAGCCTTCCGAGATGATCCCCAAATCGATGCAGGCCTCTTTGCTGAGGAAGAGCTTATCGGAGATGTCTGTGATGTAGGTCAGTTGCCGTGACTCGACAACATGACCGAGGGGATCTTTGCCGGATAAGAGGAGAGGGGCAGCTCTAAGGATCGTGATGCCCCCATTAGTCGCAGTGTGCATCTCCACGGTGACTGGGATGAGGTCTTGAAGGCATAATCCAAGGTGATGGACGACCTTCAAACCAGCAAGGCAGCTTTGGCATCCAGTGTCTGCCATGGCTGGTATGGAGCAGGTCTTCGAAGGGGATAACAGGCCGAAACCAAGGGGTTCATAGTCATCAGGAACAGCTTTCACGGTCACATCAAGGAATGGCTGAGGTGTCGATCTTTTCCTGTGCCATGCTGTGGAAAGATTATCACACACGTGGTGGACGATGGGGAGGCCACGTGGTTGCCCTAAGTCACGGATGGTACAGAGGGTGTCGAAGATAGCACCCTCGTGTTCGCCAGGGATGGCTGACTGTTGGTGTCGTGGCCTGCCCTTGCTGCGGCAGACATTCTCCATATGATGGAGCTTGTCACAGTGTCCACATATCTGTCCATAGGCTGTACACTGCATCTTGCGGACATGAGCTGGGGCGCTTCGTCAGTGCCCCTTTTTACCGCAGTAGGCGCACACTTCCTGCTTCTCCTTGAGATGTGTCTGTCTGGTTTTCCGATAGGAGCTGCTGGCTGCTTCCACCGCGTGTGAGTCCAGAAGGGAGGAGGCAGAGCGTTTCCCGGCCTCTTTTGCCTCAATGAACTGGAAGACATCTTCCAAGCCCATGTCCTGGTTCTTGTCTCCTAAAAGATCAAGCTGGATTTCAGAGTCAGCAATTCCCGTGGTAAGCAGACGCACGGCGAGCTTTTTGATGGATGACAGTACCTCATCCTCAGTTTTGTTGGTGAGGCTGCCACCAGCAGCT